CATCCATTCACTATATAGTCGGCGTCGCTCTATACGCCTTCTTCTCTCCTTATCGAATATTATATATTATATCTAATATCCACTAGAACCTATACCAGCCTTGTAATAATATATTCGATTCTTTAAAAGGATTCCGTTACTAATCAGTCCAAATCTTGATTCTTTTATTTTACAAAAAAACTTGCGGGATTATTATTTATTATATAATACAATTGATTATTTGATAAAAAGTGAACTTAAATAACTTCATTTTATAAAAACATTGATATTACGAATATCTTGATATTATAAAACTTAAAAACTTTAAGCTTTGTTTTTATCTTATAATAGATAATATTGAAAACCTATAAAGTACTCTAATAAATACTATTAATACAAGTATATTTATTATTATAGATATTAAAACACTTGGTAGCCTTAAAGCTTATACTTATATTACTTTCTATGAAAATCCTTTTATTGCTAATTGTTACCGCGTAGAGACTAATCCCCTTCTGGGGACTAGCCGGAAAAGCGTGGAAATGAAAGGATACAGAGTATCCTTTTATATCCTTTGTTCTTTATTAGTTAGTTTGTACTGAAATCTATAAAGAACTACCCTTATACCACTATAGCAATGGTATAAGTTTAGTTCTGTACAAACTATACCCTAACTGTAGTACTGATACTATCCGGCTTATTCCCTGCTTATAATCCTTTATAAACTGAACTTATCCTATCTTTTAATATTAAAAGAAAGCAGTTAATATAGTAAATAATAATCAAGCAATATCTCCTTATTTTCCAGAAAACTTAATATCTATTTAGGAGCTGGTAGAAACCCTATTACAATCTAATAATATACATATATTAACCAATAACTCCGAGGAGAATACTTTTGAAGAGAATACACACTTTATTGATCACTTTGAGATAACCAGTCCCAGAAATACTCTGGTGTATTTAGGAAAACTAGTTATAATCTATCAGGGGAATGTAATCCTGGAACTATCCCAAGCTTCCTTGGGATCAGTAGAAATCGATGAAAAAGAACAAAACCTACTAAAAAAGGAAAAAGCGATATATATCTTTCTTCGAAAGAAAGCTATCAAACAATGGAATAATATGTTTCAAAAACAATTAAACAAAGGATTAACTATTATACCCCTGGGGATCTTTTAAAAGAAAGCCAACAAAGACTCAGAGGACAAACAAGAAACTCGAGAATTAAAAGATAGAATCTACAAGCAAAAACTTGAAACTAATCGATATCCTAATGTTCCTAGTATATACTACAGAAGGTTTTTGGAGAAATACCGGGTCTTCATTCGAGAATACAAAAATACTTTTGATAATATACTAATAATCTATGGAGAGGATATTTATAAGGTATAGTGGATATCTATCTACCTTCAGGACTCCTTCACAAAATAATAGATTGATACAAAAACAATCCTTATTAATCCTATATAAAATTATTTTCGGGAATTCTTTTATAATCTGATTCAATCATTTGTAACTAAATACTGGGATATATCCATAAAATGGTTTCGAGTTATTTAAGGGACTAAGACTGTGACAAAATATGCCAACTTATTAGTTCAATACAAAACCGAATTAGAAAAGTTTATGGAATTCTATTGGATTAATAAATTCTTCGAAGGATTGTATATCAATATCTATTATAAGATTATGGAAATAAAAACAGTCCTTATCAATATTAAAGAATATATCACTATAACAATTCAAATAGAAGATAATTTGAAACTTAGTATTATTCATTAATCTAAATCCAGAAATAATTTGGATAGTTCTGAAAAAAAATTGAGAGGAAAAAAACCAATTCCGAAGGTTTGAGAAAAAATGATAGAAAACCTGAAGGAAT